GCAATGTAGATTTTGCTTCCTCTGTGTAGCACTGTGCTAAGAGGTCTGCCAGAATCAGAATTTTATACCTACTTTAATCACAAAGTAGGTATAAAACAATTTTTTTCTTTCTAAAATTATTATTATTTATACATTCAATCGCTATACATCATCATTTAGATTGTAAAGAGACTTTACCCAGCATGATATACACCAGCCCAGCCCAGTTGAGAATATGATACACATCATTGGCAGGAAATAAACCGTATCTGTGACCCACAAATGTCCTACTTCTCTATTTTTTCCCCAGATTTCCTTTCCTACATTCTTCCTTTCTCCCACTCTCCTTCCACTTTATCCCTAGTGTCCATAACAATGTTCAATGCTTTTATGTCCTCCAGTCTTTCAGTGCTAACAGTCATGCTGCAAGGGTCATGAATTTTCTCTTCTTTTACTTGGATACTGAGAAAAGAAAGAAGGAAGCAACGGAAGGAAGCAGTGTAGTTGAGAGGATTCTGGGAGTTGTACTTGTGTTGGGGCAAGATCCATGGGGGGGACTATGCTGTTTTTTTACCTTTGGTTTTTATATCTTGAAGATCTTACTAGGCATACAAACTTATGATTAACTATACCTTCTTTCTGGGTTTAAATTTTTGTCATTATTCAAAAATAAATAAATAAATAAATAAAAGGAGGACAACAGCTACAGAGATAGACATCATTCTGCTCATAAACAGCTCAAGGAACCTGGTCAAATTAGGTAACAAACTGAAATATTAACAAAAGATCAACCTTCTTTCCTGTTCAACCCAGACTCATGCATATTTAAAACTATTAACTTCTAACTCTGTTATCAGAAATTATAAACCTATCCTTGGCAGTGTAATTTATACAATGATGTTTGCTAAGACGTCTGGTTTTAGAGATTTGCACTGTCTTGTGAAAGTTATGTAAACCTGTTAAAAAAAAATCAAGGCATAATTCTGAGTAGTTACCTAACTGTTTTCTTGGTAATTATGCATAAGTTCGTATGTGTATAATACTCAGAAGGCTGGTCAAATTGGTTGAGAAAAACTGGTACTTCCTTATTCTGATATACATGTACATAGAACAAAACCAGAGACTGCTTTGAATTCCTTTTTAAAGCTAAGAGTTAGAGAAGCTTTTCTTATTTAAATATCTAATTGATGCGACTTCAGAAAAAACAAAAACATATGAACATAAGCACAAAGAAAAGTTTGGAAGTATGTACAGCAAAATATTAATAGTATGCTGAAGCTATGAGTACTTATTATAACATTCTATTTTATAAGTCAATGTAGGTTAATAAATTTTTTTTCAACAAGGTTATGTTAGTATATCAACAGTAATACATAATAAATTCTAGTTCCACTTAAATCATTTTTCTAAAGAGTTGCAGGGTGGGTACAATTTTCTACTACTTACGAAAACTGCTAGGAAACAGGCTGGCAAAAATCACAGGGACTAGGGACCAGCAGTTAGTGTAATGGCTATGTTGCTGGACTCCTATGTAGTCGACCGTGGTTCCTGCCCCGGACCCGGCCGCTTGAAACTCAACGCCGGCGCGTGTGCGTGCGTGCCCAAGATCCCGAGAGGAGAATGGAGGAGAAGGGATTGCGGTGTGGCCATCCACCCTGGGGGGTGATTTCTCGCTTTGTCTCTACGTCTCTCTCTGTCTGTCTGGCAAACGCACGTGCCCTATAGCAAAAAAAAACTTCCAAAAAAAAGAAAATCACAGGGTCTAGCACTAAGACCAGAATGACTGAAATAAATAAGCCCATCGAATTCTCTACATCCCTTTATCATATTTCATAAGTGTAATAAGGGGTGTGGTGGTGCCCGTCCTATGGCATAAGTGTAATAAGACATTTTCATTTTTAAGATTTTCCTCTGAATGAACACAACTAGTATAAGCAGCATGTTCAGACTGAATAAATACTGTTTGGTCCAAGTAGAGGTGTAATAGATGTGACTTTACCATTACCTTTCTTCTTTGAATGACTAATATACCACATTGAATATAATTCTCAAAAAGCTTCTAAAACATGCCTAACAAAGCTAAATTGATTTTTAATTTAGCAAGTGAGTACTTTTTTCATAACTATGAATATTGCATACTACTACATCTTGTATTTTCTTTTTATATTAGTAATTCTCAACAATTTTTTTTTCTTTTTTTCAAAGCCTTGCTGTGGGGCACAGGCACACACTGGAGAGAGACAGAGAGAGCGGGAAAATGAGAAAATATCCCCCAAGGGGATGGCTACACCACAATCCCTTTTCCTCTGTTCTCCTGTTGGGATTTTGGACATACATGCACGTAAGCTAGGGTGTTTTCGAAGTGCCACGTGGGCCCCTTACTAATTTTTATCCTCTATACATTAAATCATCAGGAAAGTCATAATGTATTTTTCTCCTCTTTCCTTTCCTTTTTTTTTTTTAAGAGAGATTTTTGCTATGGAGCGCTTGCGCTCACCAGAGAGCCAGAGAAAGAGGGAGAGACAGAAAGGCAGAAATCCCCCTCCAGGGGGATGGCCATGCCACAATCCCTTCTCCTCCTTTCCCCTCTCAGGATCTTGGGCACACATGCACACGTGCCTGCCATGAGTTTAAGCCATTGGGTCCAGGAGTCGAACTGTGATCGACTACATGGGAGTCCAGCGACATTAGCATTTCCCTTCTACTGGTTCTAGGATGTATTTTTCTATGTTTTTTCTTTTTTAAGCAAAAATGCATCATGACTTTTCTGATGACCCAACAGTATTATATCACTTGGACGCAAAATGATTAATCTAACATTTACATAATCAGGAAGATTTTTTGGACATACTTGTCCTAAAGCTCATTTCCAGGTATACGTTATCAATAGGTCAATGGTTAAAAACATCTTTGGGTCATGTATGCCTTTGAAACGCTCACAAAATTATGGATTTGGGGGCTGTGGGTCAGCAGGTAGCATGGTAGTTAAGGTGTTGGAATCCCACATGGCCAACTACAGTTTAAGTCCTAGATCCAGTGGTTCAAAAATCACACTGGCATATTTGCATGTGTGCCTAAAATCCCAAGAGGAGAACAAAGGACAAGGGATTGTGGCATGGCTATCCCCCATAGGGGGTGATTTCTCACTTTCCCTGTCTCTCTCCAGCAAGTACATGTACCTATGGCAAAAAAAACTAAAAGAAAAAAATATGAATTTTTCCCCCAGAAAAAAATATGTATTAATCATAAAACATGCAGTAATTTGGTATGTAATTCCCAGACAATTATTTCAGATCAAGGATTCTTGTTTGGACCACTTAAGCATATGGCTCATTTTCTAACTTATCTACTACCCATTACAACTTACTTCACATTTTCATTGTCCCTGACCTATGAATTGGAATGACTTAGAATATCCATACTATAGTAACAAATGGGTTTTTAATTTAAGTACTTATTGTCAGTCACCATTCTAGTGCTCTGTTAACTCTTCTAATCCTCATAAAAACCCTTGAAGTTGGTACCATTACTTTAAAAAAAAAAAGAATTATTTAGTTATTTAATTAATTCATTTATTTTAATTTGACCAGAGAAAGAGAGGGAAAGTGAGAAAGCAAGTCACCAGGTCTGGGACTCAAACCATGGTCAGCCATGTGAGAGTGTCTAGTACCTTAACCACCATGCCTGTTGCTGGTTCCTGGTACCATTACTTATTAATCACAATTTCCAAATAATAAACTATAAAATAGACAGGGCTGGCCCCATGGCATAGTAGTTAAAGGAGCCGGATCCCATATACCCAAATGGTCAACTATGATTTGACCAACTCCAGACACTTGAAAAGCATGCAAGGTGTGTGTGTGTGTGTGTGTGTGTGTGTGTGTGTGTGCCCAAATCCTCTCTCTGGTGAGTGTACATATACTCTGGCAATTAAAAAAAAGATAGCAAAAAACTCAGGAAGATACTGAGTATACTGCCCAAACTCACATATAGTAGTCCAACCTAGAATTTAATTCAGATGCTCTAGATAAGGGCCCGGCAAACTTTTATGTAAAGGTCCAAATAGTAAATATCTTAGATTTATGAGCCAAGAGGTAAAATTAAGGATAGGTGTTTACATAATGAGATAAATTTCTATAAATTTTAATGGACAAAATTCAAAGTTTTATTTATGAACACTGAAATTAAAAGTTCGTACAATTCTCACATATCATAAAATATCAGTCTTCTAATTTATTGTCAACTATAAAAAAAGAGCACTAAAACCAATCTTAATTCACAGGCTATACAAAAATATGCTACAAGCTGGATTTGGTCCTCAGAACCATGGTTTTTTGCTGACCCCCTGCACTATACCCATAGACTATTATATCATAATGCTTCACACAGTCTATACAATTATATAACTTGAAAAAAAATAAACCTTGTTATTACCAAACTTCATACAGCAAATAGCCTGATAACACATAAAACTCCTAATGGATTCCCTTAGAAAATAATTTCTATCCTTACCAATCTCCCTGCACACTTCTCCCCAATATTCTCATTCGTAATGGCCTCCAAAACAGAACTGTTTCTTACTAAACCCATCAAACCATCTCCTACCTTGCTACTTTTCTACACCTGTTTCTCAAGATCTAAAGTATCTAATTTGCAATTCTACTAATTATTGGTCTCCTCCTTATCAAATCACAGTGCAAAGACACTATTTCTATGTCCGGAGAACGGTTAGATGAAAAAGAAGCACATGGGGATACTGAATGTACTGCCAAGAGATTATATGAAAATTAACTCTAGGAAAGACATTTGATGAGGTACTAGAAAAGAAAGAGATCTGTGCTCATGGTACCATCATTAATTGGAAAGACAAGGTCTAGTGACCACATAAGTGGATGAATCACTGTTTGACAGGACATTTCAGATGAACTTCCTTTATTTATTTATTTATCTATTTATTTAAGATTTTTGCCATTGGGTATGTGTACTCGCTGGAGACAGAGAGAAGGATAGTGAGAACTCACCTCTCACGCCACAAGGAGATGACCATGCAGTAGTCTCCTTTCCTTCATTCTCCTCTCATGATTTTGGGTGCATACACACATGCATCTGTTGTGATTTTCAAGCCATTGGGTCCAGGGTTCAAACCGCGGTCAGCCCTGTGGGAGTCCAGTGCCTTTGCCACCATGCCACCTGCTGGCCCCAGATGAGGTTATTCTTTGTCCTGAAAAACAAAAATGCATTTCATGAAAGAGAAAAAAAATCAAAATGACCCCTAGCTAGGCTTTAAGATGTATAATTGCAATTTTTTTCCTCTGGGAGCTCTTCTAATACAACAAAATGTGGAAAGAAAAAGGAGCCATGACATATCCAGCCTTTCCTGGAGCCCAGACATTATAAATAAGAATAAAGTGTTCACTACTAGAAAGCTCCCATCAGCCACATTAAATACACCCAGATGAGAGAATGACAAAGACTGGAATTCTACTGACCCTTCCCTATTACCGAAGAAAAGTCAGGTGGGTACCAATTGATGGTGTAATGGTTAGTCGCTGGACTCCCATGTAGTCCACCTTGGTTAAAGTTCTAGACCTGGGGCAGCTTAAAACTCACACCAGGGGGAACCAGCAGTTAGAGTAATTGCTATGTTGCTGGACTCCCACATAGTTGACTGCAGTTTGCGACCCGGACCCGGTGGCTTAAAACTCACGCCGGGCGCGTGTGCATGCGTGCCCAAGATCCCGAGAGGAGAATGGAGGAGAAGGGATTGTGGTGTGACCATCCCCCCTGGGGGGTGATTTCTCGCTTTCTGTCTCTATGTCTCTCTCTGTCTGGCGAGCGCACGTGCCCTATAGCGAAACACCTCTCCAAGAAAACACAAAAACAAAACAAAACAAAAAACAAAAAACTCATGCCAGGCACGGGTTCGGGCATGTCCAAGATGCTGAGAGGAGAAGGAATTGTGGTATGGCCATCCCCCCCAGGGGGTGATTTCTCACTTCCTGTCTTTCTGTCTCTCTGGCAAGCACAGGTGCTCTATAGCAAAAATCTCTCAAAAAAAAAAAAAAGAAAAAGAAAGAAAAGTAAGGTTCACTGAAGCTAGAACTGGAATCTATTTCCATATTGACAGTGATTTCCTATAGACGGAGCTTTCAAAACTGTATGTTTATCTGCACTCTGAGACTGAAAAACAAAGCACACAATTCCACAAATGATTTGATAAAAGTTTAATATCAGAGGGTAACTTACAAATGGAAGGATTGGTAAGGTTTGTTCTCACAGGAGCACAGCTACAGACTGCACTTCACTCCCTCCCTTAATGAGCTTGAACTTCTGAAGATGAACAATAGTTTCAAGTTGGGAAGTAGTGACTGCTCCAGGGTTAAAGATTTTATGCTTCTACTGTTATGGCTAGGGACATAAGTTATCTGGGTGGGAGGAAATCATGACTGCCCCAGGGTTACATATCAAAGATCTTTAGTTTTTCTAGTATTAAGGACTAGTGTTATTGTATCAGTTAGATGCTCTGGATGCCTGTTTCAGGTAAGAATTTAACTCAAGGAGAAACTGCTGCTCAGGGATAGTACTGAATGACTTTAAGATGCTGCAGAAGAGTGGAGGGGTATAAAGACAGCAAGTCTGTTCACTCACTGAGGATCTGCAATATGCAACTTGTCCCCACAGAGTTCTCAAGAGGGATTTGGAGGAAAGAAATCTTACTTTTGGGGCCTCAATATCATGTGTTCTCAGGACCTTACACAGGCAAACACCAAGCCACGCATTCTACTCCTCAGCCCCAGTCGGTCACAAAAACACTGTTTACACAGTCAGTCACGGTCTGACACAACCTCGCGGTCACCGCCAGCCAAGGTCATACAATTGGCCCCGCCGGGCTTAGTCCCACAAGCCCACCCAGAACCAGTCAGGGCCTCTCCACAGCGCATAGACCCTGGCCCTGTTGCACGTACGCGTGCACACAGACTCATAAGCACACTCCACACTGTGGCAGTCGCCTTCCCCAGCAGGTGACACACACCGCACAGACCTGAGGATTCGGTCTCCGCCCGCCTCATCCGCGTCCGAGGAACTCAGAGTCTCCGGCCCGGAGTCGCACTAGCCGGGTCATCTCAGCTCACTAAACAATAACCACAAGGCCTGCGGAACATGAACCAGAAGTCGAGGTTCATTAGTGGCCTGGGGGCCTAAGCGTGGCCCCAGCCACAGAGCCCGCGTTCACACCGACACAGACGAGCGCCGGCAGCGAGGACCGCGCAGCCCCTCGCCGGCAGCCCCGGAGACTCCTGGGAGCGCGCGCTCTCGCGCGAGTGCGCAGGCGCAGATGCCTGAACCTTGGCCGGGGGTGAGGCCGGTGGGTTCCTGGGGCTCTGAGGAGGCCGACAGGGCAGCTGGGCTCTCTGACCCTGGCGAGCAGACTAAGGAAGCGAAACCGGGTGGGAGACCAAGGAGGAAACCCGGAGTCCGAGTCGGGCGTGGTAATTCTGAGGAGAGAACCGGGATTGCCGTATCCAGTAGCTCAGATCAGTGCAAGCGGGGGGCCTCGGGCGTGTTCTGTGGGCGTGACCCTGAGGGGTGTCCCCGAGTGTGACCTGGAGCGAGCTCCACGAAGAGGGGTTTTGCCTGTTTTGACCCCAAGGAAGATCCTTCGATGGTAGTGGGTCCCCGTACACAGTGTGCGCCTAACGGGGCTGACCTGTGCCCAACCTGCTGGATTTTGGGTGCGTGCCACTCTTTGGGATGTTGCGACTGATTGTGTGTGAAAAGTGGACGGAGCCGTTGCTGTGTCAGGTTTCCTCTGAATGGGTCTATTTTTAGATTAGGTGTGAGTCGTATTTGAGAGTGTGTGTGATTATGGAGAACTGAAAGTAACTTGCAAATATGACAGTGACTTTGCCTGGAATTTTGTAATGTGCTTCGATTGTGAATGACATGTGGGGACTATGGGTTGGTGGTTTTATGAAGAATGTTTGGTTGCATATCACACTGTATATGTGTTTGTAACCTTTTATTTCTGATGATTTTGTGACCATGGTTACCTAAATATTTGAATGACTGATGAAATTGGTTATTTAAAATTTGATTTTCTGAATAGTAGTATTTAAAAATATTTTTATTTTATTTTATTTATTATTATTTTACTTTGATATGGGACACATGTGCTCACCAGAGGGCGAGAGAAAGACAGTGAGAAAGCAAGCTGCCAGCTTCAGGACTTGAACTGTGGTCAGCCAGTCCAAGACCTTAATCTCTCTCACCTGCTGGCCCCCTGAATAGTAGTTATTAAACCTGCTTATAAAATTATAACTAAGTAGCAATTTAGCAAATATAATAGAAGTTTAAGTATTAGAAAGGAAGAGGCAGGATTCCCATAATTCCTAATAGTAAAATTTTATTACCTGGAAACATTGTATTTACTAAAACTTATGTGTTGAAATGAATAGCCTTCCATGGGAACCATGAAGGGAAAACAATTACCCGTAACTTCCACTTTAGACACTTATATGAGTGACGTTTCTTGTTCCTGGAGGAAATCATGACAAAGTCAATTGCTTTTTCAGGCATTCTAAGATAATAAGTGGTATGCTTTTAATCACAAGTCCAGTCTCATTTTATTTATTAAAATAATGATTTTTCTAACTAAAATAGTCACTGTAGCAATTAATATGTCAGACTTTATTTAGCAAAACATCTCTTCCTGGAGGCCTCCAGAGTGCAAAAAGTACCTGATTGGTTTCTTTTCTATTTTCATACCTGTACTATTAAAAAGCATCATTCAATAGTTAATCTTTAACTGTAAGTTAGTAATAACTAAGACTTAATTTCAATAAATTTTATTCTTAAGTAGTATGATATAGGTGAATAATTAATAAAGATATCAAGTAGAGAAGTTAAATAGAAAGTCCAGGTATTCTCAACATAGAAATGTATTTTATGATAAAGGTGACCTTTAACTTCAGCTGAGGAAATATGGAATATACAATGTATGGTATTGCTAAACAAAACATAGGGAGAAAAATCTTCAAGGCGGAGGCACTTCTTTTATTTTTTTTCCAATGGGATTTTTGCTATTGGGCGCGTGCGCTCGCCAGAAAGACAGAGAGTGGTAGAGGGACAGAAAGCGAGAAATCACCCCCCAGGGTGAATGGCCATACTGCAATCCCTTCTCTTCCATTCTTCTCTTAGGATTTTGGGCACATATGCACACACATCTGGTGTGAGTTTTAAGCCATTGGGTCAAACCACAGTTGACTATGTCGGAGTCCAGCATTTAACCATTATGCCATCTGCTGGCCCCAAGGCAGAGGTGCTTTAATAGTCACATAAAAAAAAAAAATATTTGCAACTTAAAATAGATAAAGGGTTAATTTCCTAAATTAAGAAGTGTCAACTAATTAGGAAATAAAAACTCACAAGAAAAATAGACATACTATAAAGAGATGTCATTTTAGAAAAGAAATATGCAGTATCTTTGAATTTATTAAAAGAAGCATATTTTCATTTATAATAAGAAATGTGTACATGAGCACTATAATAGGGACTGGCAGGTGGCATGGTAGTTAAGGCGCTGGACTCCCATGTGACCAATCATGGTTTGAGTCCCGGACCTTGTAGCTTGCTTTCCCACCCTCTCTCTCTCTTGTCTCTCTCTGAGACAGTGAGAATAACAATAAGTAAATAAATGAATAAATAAAGTTAAATAATTTTTTTAAAAAATAACTACGATATAGGCCTGATGGGCAAAGATTGAAAAGTCTCCAAATGTATTAATTAGGGCATGGGAAAGTATTCTCTTACATTGCTGGTGATAGTGTAAACAGGCAGAAAGTCCATGCAGAGCAATTTGGAAATACATAATAAACCCGTGCACCATGGGAGACAAAGAGCTGCAGAGAGGAAAACACAATGTCCCCTCTTAAGCTAGAGCAGGTTCCCCAGAATTTATTCTACCTCACCAAGCGATAAGGTTTCCAGTGTTGGGGAGGGAGCCGGATTTCTCTGTCTTACCACTAACCTCCAAATTTCTGAAGGATACGCAAAGTGGACAAGAGCTGAAATAATGAAAATTAATGCAGATTTAACTGAGTTATTCTGGGAAAGCTAAGTCACATATGGTCTCATATAACTCCTTGTATCCCTTCATCTTTGCCTACTCAGGATTTTTCCCTTTTCCAAAAGAAGAGCTCAAAAGAGAAGGTTCATCTCACAAATCTCAAAGCCATGTCTCAGGTGAGATGATATTTCCTCTCTCTCCATGGTATATGGGCATTTGCTTTCCTATCCTTTAACATCCTGGATATTGGGATTTGCTTCCATAAAACTGGTCTCCAATCAGGGCCCAGGTTAAGGTGAGGCAGTTAGACTTTCTTGCAGTGCAGTATTTAAGGATGACTCTCAGGGCTATGCATTCTTAAATTTGTCACCCTAGGTGCCTTACCTGCCTCACTTGGGTCCCAATTTCTCCATCCAATCAGATAAACTTAAGCCTTCCCCATATGCGCCTTCTCATTGTAGCCAATGTTCACATATTGATTGGTTGTGTCATTCATCATCTCCTTTCTCAGTTTTCTCACAAAATTGCTGCTGGAACAAAAAGATTATTATCTTGATTTCAATGGACATAGATTATACCTTTCTTGACATTGACTTGACTGATTCGAGATCTTAGTTGTGAGTAATCAAGGAGCAGACATAGAAGAACTTGAGCATCTCCACTAACCTAGGTTTTGCAATGATATGGTAGGAGGTGGTAGATCACATTATTATTTTGTGGGGGATGTCCTGTTTTGTGGGGTTTTCAGGGTAGAGATTTGATTGTCCAGAAAACAGAGGTTTTGCACTACTCCTTTCTGATCTTCCTATTTAATCTATGTCTGCGACCAATTCCTAGTAAAAATCTTTCCAGTATTCTAATGCTATTATAGATTTATCCTTATCCCTTTAATTTCTTTTTTTATATGTGAGTAAAAGAAGAAAATGCAAATGCTATTCTACTCTTTAAATATTCTATTATTGAATCAAAGATGATACTTTGTCCGGTTTTCATATCTTTCTCTTGGAAAGTTTCTCTTTATCTGCCAACCTTTAAAATATTGATTTTCCCCTGATGCTAGTTGATTCTCTTCTGTGCACATCAGATTTCACTCTGAAGGCTATACTTATCTAATTCTAGTGACTCTGAAATAACCTCTTTTTATTCTAGACCTATGTCCAGTGTCAGAACCATAGATTCAACCTCTGATAGCAATGCCATCTATTTCCTAAGCACTTAAATTACATTTGCAGAGTTTACCTCACTACTTCTTTGGTCCAGCCTTTTCTTTCTGTTTCCCATTTCTACTTTCTAATACCCACACACTTAGCCCATGCAGATAAATAAAGAGCTCTGCTTATCTTTTTTATCATCCTACAACCATTTTATGACCAATTCTGTTACAACTCATTGTGTAGGAACCAGTTGTCCTTTCAGTCCACTAACTCTAATTTAGGAGGCATCTCCGACAGTGGTTGCTTAATTATTTTTCCCACCTAACATACTTTAAGCCTTCTCTAGTTTTCAAGAGTATTGTCTCTAAAATATTAATTTTATCACAGAACATGTGTTGACTTATATTAATCCTTATTCTTTGTATTCCTTAAAGTTGATCCTAAGGTGGTTATCCATCACAGTGGACTATATGACAGTTTATTGGAAGAGAAGAATATATTAACTCATGAGCAGCAAACATTAATGATTTATATTGCCATTAATGTCTATTGATGATTTATAATTACAAATCTAACTATAAATATGTTGGGAATATGCTCAGTACATTTTTAAGACCACTGATCTACAAGGGAAAAAAAAATCCATTATTGTTCCATGATATGCCCACTACCTACCTCTATATACCTCTCCTGTCATAGAGTTTAAATACTATTTCCTAACAACTGTGCCTTTTGCTGTTTCCTGAATTTACTAACTGGTTTTTTTCTCCCCATAAATTTTGAAAAGCTGATTCCCTGTATTCCTACAAAACAAATTTATTGTGAGTACAAAACTCTTGCATTCTCAGTGAAGCATCAGTATACAAAATGATTTTTTTTTTTACTTTATGACACTTTTTCTTACACATATTTGTGCCATTGCATCTTCAGTACCTATTGAGTGCATGTATTTACATGTCTGCCTCTCTCTTGGCCTGTAACTTCTCATGAGCAGGGGCAGGATTTTATTCATTTTGTTTCATTAGGCAACCAGTAACATTCAGAAAAAAAAATAGTATGATCTTAGTGTGTATTTTTAGCATGAGATAACAAGTAAATACAGATAAGTATATTTCCAGGTAATTTTATACAATATAAAACACAATATAAGAAAATTAGATTTACCACTGACCATTGTCCGAACATTGGTCTCCAATATCTAGTTCTCACCCATTTCCAATCACTTCAGGATGAACTAGAGTATGCCCTTACAGGGTGCAGTATCATTCAAGGATGTGACTGTGGACTTCAGCCAGGAGGAGTGGCAGCAACTGGACCCTGCTCAGAAGGCCCTCTACAGAGATGTGATGTTGGAAAACTATTGCCACTTAATCTCTGTGGGTAAGGAACATTCTTTGAATCTTTCAATATCATGCATCTTCCTTTCAAGAATTCCTGAAACATGGAAACTTGGAATTCCAGGGATCAGAAGGTGATGGATCCTTTTTTTGTTAGCAGAAAATAAGATTATATCCTCATGTGCCTAATAAGTTTGGTAAGATGTTAATGTGTACCTTATCTGCCATCCTGAAGCTGTACCTTCAGTGGTTATGAAGTCTAAACCCTTTAGACCAAGTCTTATTTTTGTTATCAGGGTTTCACATGACTAAGCCTGATGTGATCCACAAGTTGGAACAAGGAGAAGAGCTATGGACGGAGAGAATTTTTCCAAGTCAGAGCTACCTAGGTGAGTCTGTACAGATAAAGCCCAAGGGACCTTAATTCTCAAGTAGTTGATACTTTTGAATGTTTTTAGAGATCTGACTTTTTAATATGTGGCATTTTTCATGTTTTTGCCATAGGGTGTGTGCACTCGCCAGAAAGAGACAGAGAGAGATAATGAGAGGGAAAATGAGAAATCACCCCCTAGGTGGGATGGCCACACTACAATCCCTCCTCCTACATTCTCCTCCCAGGATTTTGGGCATGCATGCACACACACCCAGCATGATTTTCAAACTGCCTGGTCTGGGACTCAGACCATGGTCAGCCATGTGAGAGTTCAGCACCTTAACTACCACACCACCTGCTGTTCCCCTATAGTTGTGATTTCTGCCACAATAGATTAGTTTTGTCTATTATAGACCTTTCTCATGTCTGCTTTCTCTCACTCAGTTTAACATAAGGATTTATATATGTTTTTGCATGCATATGTAGTTTATTTTGATTGTGGAATAATATTCAGTTGTGTGACTATACCAGGTTGTTTATACATTTCCTATTTGTAGACATTGGGATATTTCCAATTCAGGGCTGCTATGAATAAATCCATTCTAAACAGTCTTATAAAACACTTTTGTGAACAAATGTGTTTATTTCTCCTCAGTAAACACTTAGCAGTGACATTGCTGATTCATATTCAGGTGTGTGTTTTGGGGGTTTTTAAGAACCTGCTTGGTTTTAAAAATTTATTTACTTATTTCAATTTGACCAGAGAGGGACAGAGTAAGAGAGAAAGAAAGTGAGAAAGCAAGCCACAAGGCCCAGCACTCCAACCACAGTCTACTGTGTAATAGTCCAGTGCCCTTAACCACCACACCACCTGCTGACCCCAGAGCCTGCTCATCGTTAAAAGTCACTGTACCATTTTAGACTTTCATCAGCAATGTTTGAGAATTTTGATTGCTCCACATTCTCTTCTACTCTTGATGTTATCAGTATTTTCATTGTGGCCATTCTGGTAGTGTATGTTACGTCAGAGGCATCCAAGTGTTTCATTCATTTTTTTTTTTTTTTATTGAGTAGTATATATTTTTCTTTGAGTAATAGGAATTCTTTTTTTTTTTTTTTGAGAGGTTTTTGCTATAGGGCGCATGCGCTCGCCAGACAGACAGAGAGAGACAGAGAGATAGAAAGCGAGAAATCACCCCCCAGGGGGGATGACCATGCCACAGTCCCTTCTCCTCCATTCTCCTCTTAGGATCTTGGGCATGCATGCACATACACCTGGCATGAGTTTAAGCCACCAGGTCCAGGACTTGAACCATGGTCGACTACATGAGAGTTCAGTGACATAGCCATTAGCTAACTGCTGGTCCCAGTAGTAGGAATTCTTTACACATTCTGGATATAATCTTTTGTTTAATGTATTGATTACAAATGTTTTTTACCTAGTCTGACATTTTAATCGTGTCTTTTTTTAAAATTATTTTTATTTAACTTTATTTATCATCACTATTATTATTACTATTACTTTTAATTTTGATCAGAGAAAGACAGAGAGAGGGAAAATGAGAAAGTAAGCTGCCAGGTCTGAGACTCAAACCATCGTGAGCCATGTGAGAGCCCAACGTCCTTAACCACCACCATCTGCCGGCCTCTAATGATGTCTTTTCATAAGCTGAAGCTTTTAACTTTGGTGAAGTTCAGTTTATCATTTTTTTCTTTTAGAGTTAGTTCTTTGACCTCTCAAACAAATATTTATTATTCTAAGTTATGATGACAGCTTCCTATATTTTATTCTAAGAAATGCTGGATATATTTAAGTTTTTATGATTAGTTCCATGATCCACCTCACATTATGTTTTATGATGTGAGATAGGATTTGAGGGTCTGTTTTCTTACACATGGATTTCAGTTTGTTTCATTACCATTGTAGAATTAAATTGAATTGCTCTGATAACCATATAGAAAATGGTTGTGTTTGTGTCAATCTGTTTTTCAATTAATTAATTTATTTATTTATATTTACTTTAATTTGACCAGAGAGGGACAGAGTGAGAGAGAGAGAGAGAAAGTGAGAAAGCAAGTCACCAGGTCCAGGACTCGAACTGTGGTCGACCATGTTGGAGTACAGTGCCCTTAACCACCATGCCACCTGCTGGCCCCTGTCAATCTATTTTTTGACTTTATATTCTTTGATTTGACATATTTTAATAGTGTCAATACTACTTTATAATAAGTCTTTTTTGTTTTGTTTTGTTTTGTTTTGTTTTGTTTTGTTTTGTTTTGTTTAGGAAAGAGATTTTTGATATAGGGCACATGCACTTGCCGGAGGTGCAGAGAGAGACAGAGAGAGAAGTGAAGCCACCCCCACAGGGGGACAGCCGTGCTACGATCCCCTCTCCTCCATTCTCCTGTCAGGATTTTGGGCACACACCTACAGGTGCCTGGCATGAGTTTCAAGCTGCTGGGTCCAGGACTCAAAACACAGTTGACCATGTGGGAGTCCAGCACCTTAAAAGTGGCCCCTATATTAAGTCTTAAAGTAGAGTAAGCCCTCCATCTTTATTCCTTTTAAAAATTGCTTTGGTGGAGCCAGCAGGTGGCATAGTGGTTAAGGCACTAGACTCCCACATGGCGGACCACAGTTCAAGTCCGAGACCTGGTGGCTTGCCTTCTTACTTTCTCTCTTTCTCTCTCTCTCTCTCTCTCTCTGGAGCCCTATAGAACTTGTTTTAAATTTTAAGTAATTAAAGTTAAATAAAATGTAATAAAAATTTTTAATAATAATAAATACAATTGAATAAATCATTCTTTAAAAAAAATTGCTTTGGCTATACATGTGCACTTGCCAGACAGACAGAGAGACAGAAAGCAAGAAATCAACCCCCACCCCCTGGCAGGGGGATGGCCACGCCGCAGTCCCTTCTCCTCCATTCTCCTCTTGGGATCTTGGACATGCACGCACATGCACCCGATGTATTTTAAGCCACTGGGTCTGGGACTCGAACCACAGTCAACTACATGGGAGTCCAGCAACATAGCCATTACTCTAACTGCTGGTCCCTCAAATATATTTTAAGTAATTTTTTCCCTCAGAGATTTTTGCTATAGGATGCACACGCTCACTGGAGAGACAGAGAAACAAAAAATGAGAAATCATTCCCCCAACAGGAATGGCCATACTGCAATCCCTTGTCTTCCATTCTCCTCTTGAGACTTTGGCCACACATATACCTGCACCTGGTGTGAGTTTTAAGCCACCAGGTGCAAGACTCAGACCATTGTTGAGTATGTGGGAGTCCAGCAACATAACCATTAATACCATCTGCTGGTCCCTCAAATATATTTTAGAGTCAGATTCTTGATTTTTAAAAATATTGTGCTGGGGGGCCAGCAGGTAGTAAAGACGTGTTGGTAAAGGCACTATATTCCCACATGGCTGACCATGGTTCAAATCTCAGACCTGGAAACTTGAAAATCATGCTGGGCATGTGTGTGTGCTTGCCGAAAATCCTGAGGAGAATGAAGAAGGGATTGCATCCTGGCCATCCCCTTGGGGTGGGGGTGGGGGGATGACATCTCACATTCCTTCTGTCTCTCTAGTGAGTATGTGCTCCCTATGGCAAAAACTAATAATAATAATAATAATAACGTGCTGGGATTGTCATTGGCGAGAATAGACATCTTAGAAATATTGAATCTTCTGGTCCATGCTATAGCTCTCTGTCTTAGCTAGGTTCTCTAATTCCTGTAAGTTGTGTTTTATTACTTTTAGGATAGAGATCTTACACATTGTTCATTAAATTTACCTCTAAACTCTGAATATTTTAGATGCTATTGTGAAGTAATAGGATTGTTAAATTTTCTTTTGCTAGTTAGTTGCTAATTATTATAATCACAACTCGTTTTTATATATTGACTTTGCATACATTTATTGATTGTACTAGGGTTTTTTGGTTTTGTTTTTTAGATTTTGGTCATAGGACATGTGTGCTCACCAGGGAGAAACAGAGAAAGAAAGTGAGAGAAAAACAGAGAGAGAAAGTGAGAAATCACCCCCCACCCCCAGAGGAATGGACATACCACAATCTTTCCTCCTCCATTTTCCTCTCAGGATTTAGGGCACGCATACACACACACACCTGGTATAAATTTCAGGCCACTGGGTCCAGGACTCAAGTCATGGTTGGTCTTGTGGGAATCCAGCACCTTAACCACTACACCACCTGCTGGCCCTAGTTGTATTAGGTGTTACTGTTTTTATTTGTTTTGTTTTGCTGTAGAGGTTTTTGCCTTAGGGAGCATGTGCTCACTAGAGAGAAATAGAGACAAGACAGTAAAAGGGAAAGTTAGAAATATTTCCCCAGGAGGGACAGTCACACCACAATTCCTACTCCTCCAGTCTCCTTCCAGGATCTTGGGCATGTATGCACACCCACCCAGTGTGATTTTCAAGCCACCAGGTCCAGGACTTGAACTGTAATTGGCCATGTGGGAGTCCAGCAACTTAACACTATGTCATCAGCTGGCCCCGTTTGTTTTTTAGGTTTTTGACATAGGGTAGGTATGCTCACCAGAGAGAAAGAGAGACAGACAGTGAGAGGGAAAATGAGAAATCACATCCCCCTCAGGGGAGGGCCACACCACAATCTTTTCTCCTCCATTCTCCTCCTGGGATTTTGAGCACAGATACACACACCTGGCATGATTTTTCAAGCCACTGGGACTTGAATCATGTTGGCCCTGTGGGCATCCAACTCCTTAACCACTATGCCACCTGCTGACCCATGTATAAGGTCTTATTGTCCTCCTTTAGTATATTCCTCTAGATTTTTCTACATATAAAATATGTCAAGACCAGGAGATGGCATAATGGTTATGTCACTGGATTCCCAGACCACTTGCCAGCCCCTTGAGTGGTGATTTCTCACTTTCCCTCTTTCTGTCTCTCTCTGATGAACACACACACCCTATGGCAAAACCTAAAAAAATATGGAAGGAAGGAAAAGTTGTTGCACCAGT